CATGAATGAGTGTTTATGAGAGGTTAGGCAAAGAGGATTTGGCACTGAATTTTTAACATTTAAATAAAGCAATTCAATTACCATTTCTCAAAAAGGAGCTACTGGTTAGCGAAATTTATGTAGATTTTCTGTAGTATGTACAAGTGGCCTTTATTTTTCTAAGTGATATTTTCTGCTTAGAGTCAAATTCTTTTTATACAGCTTACAAAAATAAATACTTGTATTTTGCTAAGATCATAATAGCTCATTAGAAGAGGCTGAATTTGGACCTAGACTAAAACCTAACACCACAGGGCTGAGCACGCCGACTTGAACCTATAATGTTGCTAGTTCTCTCTCTCTAGGGAAGAAGAGGACTAGAGGAGAGGATTCAACCTTCTTAATTGTGAACCTCATTAGTGACGGTTGCTAGGCAAAACACACACCTACTTTCAGTGCATATGAAAGAGATAAACAATACGTCATAGACCATAATGACTCTTGTGCTCAGGGCGACCTTTAATTATTATATTTTTGTTCTCTTATACCTTAGTTATTAATGCAGAAAAACAAATTAGTTTTGTGTGTGTGGACTGCAGCAGATTCGCAAATTGTTTTCCATTTTTTGATGTCTAGATCATATTTCCTTCTGGTAATTATTGCTTGCCTCATTCATTTTTCTGTGTGCCCATCGGTAAGTATCGTTTGAAACATAAAATGACAATGATTGTATTAGCAGCTTAGTGTTCAGTTATTACTTTAATTAATTTTATTAGTGTAAAAAGCCATGATCCTGTCAATACGTTAGTAACAACTCACAAGAGGGGTCCCGTGGAAATGGATGTGCTGGGACTGCCCACCGCAGCTAGCCAGGCTGGGGCACTCTGAATGCCAGTGCTTCGGAAAACTCTAACTCTCGAGGATTCAAAATGTTTGTCCTGTATGAATTTTGTTTTACTGAAAAGCAGATTACCCAAGAGTTTTGTGTCTTTATGACGGTGTATTTTGCAGTGCAAACAAAGTAATATTTAAATCTAAATAATTATTTTGTACTCTGTGGGAGAATAAAATGTGCACGCGTATGAGCGCAGCTGCAATTGTGTGAGAATGACTCAGAGGCTGATGGGCTCCAGAAAGACTGTTTCAGCATTCTGGATTTTCAGAGATACTTTCCATTCTCTTCTTCATCTCAGCCTATCTTCTTTTAGCAGTTCAGGCAAGAAGTCAATCACATTGAGTCAGTCTGAAGAAAAACATTTTATGCTGTTTTTCTCATACAAAAACCCCACTGCTGTAATCTGCAGCAGTAAGGCCCAGCAACAGGAAATTGACCTCACAGTAAATTCTTTACAGATTTGGTCATGTTTTTACCATCCACTTAAACTTGCATACATAACCTGAGACTGTACCTCTGGATCAAGGAATATGACAAGCCAAAATAAAATCAAGTCAAATTAAATAGCAAGAAAAAGCTGCAAGCAAAACAAGACTGAAAAAAAAAAAAAAAAAAAAAAAAAAGGAAAAAGATGAAAAATTGGTTGTGACTGCAAAACTGTAAGTATTAAATAAAGAGAGAATTCAGAAGCAAATTCAAAAGTGACTGTATTCTGGTTGACAAGAGCTGAGAAATACTAATGGACTTTTTTAATGGGTGGTTTGATTGATGAGAGAAGAAAATATGGAAAAGTAAATGTAGTGGTGTATCAACATAAAATATGGTGCAAAAAAAAAAGCATCGCAAATAAAAAAAGACATGTAAATGTGTGCCTACCATTTTCCAGATAAGAAGGAGCCGTACCTTCTGAGGGGTCAAGGCGGCGAGCCCGCCTTCCATGTTTGGAATTGTTGTGTACAAACATGTTGTCTGAGACAGCCAGAACGTGGCCATCCACATTGACTGTTGTTGATACAACAACCTAAAAAAGAAGAAAAACAACATTTAAAGAAGCCTGCCTAGTTTCAGGAACATAGATGCAAAAATAGATCTTTTAAGACAATCAACATCACAGCCTGTTACTTTTCACTTTCAGCAAAGTGAATGACAACTATGAATACATCTTTGTTTATGTGGCTAACACTGGCGATTTTTAACTCACAATTGTTTCTCTTCAGAACCTGCTACACTAATTAGAGTTTAATCTCCTATTATGCTAACAAATGAATTCAATTCAGGGAAATATTCTTCTAGCCATTAGTTTCAGAAACACCCCTCTAGCCACTCATTTTAAAAGCTGCTGTTTTGATTGATCTGTTGATATATTGATTAGATAGTTTATCTAATTAAAATTTGTTCACTTGAGACTGTCTTCAAATGAAGGGTTGTGAGGATTCCAAATAAAAAAAGCTTAATAAATCAGGAACCATCGTAACTCCCCATTTTTTCTTCAGTAAATGATCTCCAGGTCAGTTTTACAATTACATTTAATGTCTGATAATGAACTTTTTTGCATCTGAAAAGACTGAGTTGAATATGAATAGTGAAAGTGTTTTCAATCCATGAAAAGTATCCCTTCTCAAGTTCATTTGGATGGTGATTGACCCTGGTATGTCAATGGAATTTCCTCCTTTATTTTTGAGTGAAAGGCTCCTATTCTTGTGTCCAGGTTCAGAGTCCGGCCATAGAAGAGATGATGGATAGGGCCTTCTTTGGCTTCCAGCTGCTTCTTAGTAGAAAATGGAAAAGGAACATATGCAAAATGCACAACCTTCCTGATAAAAACACCTACACAATGGATTTGTGAAACTCATTCCGGAAATGATATTCCATGGCCACAAGCCAAAGAGGAAATTGAGAGATGTGCATGTGTCTCTGTGTGACATAGCTTCATAGGTTGGTAGTTATTATCCCAGATAGACTTTTACATCTTATTTAAATATTCCAGCATGGACCCTGTGGTGGGGGTTCCAGATTTGTTAAACGAAGTAATCAGTGTAGCATTTTCTTTGCGGTGTAGCATTAGTAGAGTCTGTAAAGCCAATGGCTAAGTTAGACTGTTAGGCCTTAACAACCACACTAGTGATGGTGGCACAGGCTAGTGCAAATTTTAGCTTTCGTCTTCTGCTTATTTTACTTTTGGATATAACAAAAATGCTTTCTGGGGGTTCTCACACCAGCTTCTATACCCAAACACATAATGAGCAAAAAAAAAAAAAAAAAAAGAAGAAGGGGGAAAAACTATTCTCCTTTTCCACTGAGCTAGTCCAAGGCATCAGAAGACAATTTTCGTCTGTTTCTGTGTTTGGGATCACCTCTGATCCTGCTTCTTATTCACAACCCATAATTAGCTTTCAGCTATCACAGCACCTTTTCTGCGTACTCTGCCTCCTTTGAGACAGCCATCTGCGTTACCCTTTAGAACAGCCTGAGGGCAGTTTTCTGCAAGTCTGCTGTGCTCCCCTATCTTTCTTGTCCCAGAAGTGGACACTTTCACTCCTGTCAACATCCACTTAGGAGAGTGCTGAGGTTGCACACTCACCTAAGCTACAGAGCTACTGCCAGGCCACCGGGCTATCTGCTCTCAATTTTAATCAGATTTGCAGATTTAAAAAAAAAAAATATTGCAAAACATACGGGTATGATTTTTAGAAAAGATTTCTGGATTTGGTGCCTAGAACACAGTACATTAAGAAGACAGAGAAAGGTGTATATAAAAATGACAACTATTTTTGTTCTGTCATGTATATATAGGTCAGTCACCAAGGGAAAATACTGTAGTTCAGCAAAAGGAAGACATGCTAGGTTTTGTTATATTGGCTTATTCCTGCAGCGCACCTAAAGAAAGGTGCTGAGATAGTGAAACCAGTTAAAAATATTGTTCAAGATCTGACATACTGTTAAGTCCAGTTAAACCTTCTGAGAGGCAGGGAGATTAGCTAAAGAGACCCAGGAAAGTCTTTCTAGTGTCTACTGGCTCCATTGTCGACCACATGATCACTCATGACTGATGCTTCATTTAGTCATCGGTGAGACAAAGAGGACATTTCCACTCATTCCAGGTTTGACCTTCTGTTCTGTTCAGATGGATCAATATCACCAATGCCACGTGAAGCTGAGATGCATGAAAAATGGAAGCTTGGCTCAATTGTTTTGAAGAAATATTTTTTCCAGCTACAGATCTTTTCTGTTGGCTGGCTCAAGTGTTCTGGCTTCACCGGTTGGTTGGCTGTGCATGAAAACAGATGTCACATGTTTTGCTATCAAGTTTAACCACAAGTTAGTCTTCTCAAAAAATAAGAAAGTTTTGAACATCTCAATACTAGCTTATTATTACTGACAAATATGAATTATTTTGAAATATTTTGAAATTAAAAGCATATATTTCATATCAAGCATTTCAAATGACCCCAAATATGGAGGAAATCATTTGTCCACCACGCCAGATGTCTTTCTGTAGTGTTATGACTCACCACAGGGTATTTCAAAAGCTGTAAGGAGAAAGTGAAGTATTAAATATTTTCTAAAACAATTCAAATAAAAATATGTGGGTTGTATGACCACTGTTGGATTTACTAGTTGTAAATGCAGGAGGAAAAACTACTGAGTGAGATCCAAATTTCACCATGTTCCACAGTTGAATTTCTAATGTCTATTTACTCAGTTGACGTATGTAAAACTTCTACAGGTCTCAGTTCACTCCACACCACGATGTGAGGTATTAGTATGAAGGAAAACTATGGAAATGCTTTCAGAGAAGAGGCCCACTTGCTTCACAGCGATCCATAACAGCCCACTGCAGAACTGGTCAAGGCCCGAGAACAGGCATTTAAATTAGTGGGGAAAATATAAAACACTGATAGCGTTTGTTAAAGGGCTATAGCATTGAAACTACACTAAGTAAAAGCACTAATACCAGATTTTTATGGGAAAAAAAAGTTCAAGCAGTTTGAAAATCTGAGTATCTTCCATACATGGTTTACTTTTAGGAGATATCTGTACCTGGAATCTTCGCATGTCTCGCGGGTTGCCTGCATTCTTCAAACAGTTCTGATTGCACTTGAGGAAAAACTTTAGAAAGAATCTATAAAAATACAAAAGTGAAATCTATTAGATCCATCAAACTGTAAATCCAATTAAAAAGAAAAAAAAAGTTTAATAAAATTTAATCATAAATAGTTATACCCAAAAGAATACTCGTAGTGAAATATTACTTTCTTATTAGTTAATGAACTTATTTTAAAGCATAAGATCTCTGTCATAAACAGAATATTATTGCCAGGGAAAGGCAAATTTATATTTTTAATTTTTCAACAACTACAAATGTATTGACTCCAGGCCACATCCTCAGCTCGGTGTGGGAAAGTTGATTTCAATGACTCATTGACTTCAAAGGTAATGACTTACACCAGATTAAAATTTCTATTTTTTTTAATACTTTTTTTTTTTTTTCCACAACTTGTATTAGCAGTAATGACCTCTATGTGAAAAAATTCCAAGGTAATGAATGGTCAATCTTTCAAAAAACTCTTGGCTTTGCCTCCAGCTTGGCATTTCTATATATGCAAAGGGACTCAATCCAACTCTGCTAACTCCAGTAAGGCTCAGGCATGGATCTGGCCACCAAAAAGGCTCCGTTTTCCTCAGGGATTTTTGAAAGAAAAGGAATGTGGAGCATTAAACCCTGTCTTACAATCTCTCCAACCTTGCCAACCTCTAACTATACGGAGTCACTCTACCTGAGGAGAGAAATCCAGATTATTTTTGCTGAGAGGCAACTCGTAATTATTTAGGACGAAACTGTACCACCAAGGCAACTCCCAGCAAACTGTTTTGTTGCAATACTGCCTGATGGCAACACAGCAAGCACTTATGAGAAGGGGGAAAGCTTGAAAGGGTGCAGACTCTGTTATTCTGCCCTCCTGTACGGGCTGGTGAGTTCCTTGGTATGGGATGGTGGTCCCACCTCTTTCCTTCAGTATTCATTTTCAAGAATTGCTTTATGTTTTTACATTTAAAAATTAAATATATATATATATTCCGAGAAGCTTGTTTTCAGCTCATGACTGACAGCCAGTGACAAGCAAGGCTCAGGACTCCTCACCCAGAGCTTCTCAGAGGCACCAGCCCACCAGCTTTTGCTGTCTAACTTTATGCATTTTGACTAGCAAGGTTAGGCAGAGCTTTTACATTTAGTACATGAGCAATTATTATTTATTCACGCCAATCTTTACAAGTGACTGTGACTATTCTAGCTGTAAACACTTTGCAGAAATTTTCATGTGCAAATGATATTCCAGGCAGGAGGTAAGCCAAGAAATTCTTCAGTACCCAACACAGCCCAACTGCAGCTGAGCACAGGTCTGAGCACAGGTCTGAGCACAGGTATGCTGTGCTCTCCCTCAGATTTCGGGAGCATCACAAATGACTACAAACAGGTGCTTTTAATCACAGCTCTTCTTTTTAAGCTAAAACTTGAGCAGGACCCTAATAATGATATGGGATACTAATGTTAAAGGAGCAATCTCTCATACCCATCAGGCCAAGTAGGGAAACTACAAGTTTTATTTATGTTGTGTAGGAAATTACTAGCTTTATTTATATTGTGTATAAATAAATCAGCGACATCAGTTCAGCTATCTCAGAATCAGTAAAGGGGCTTCAGATGTTCAGCTGGAAAAGAGCTGGATTTCCATGGTGGCTGACACGATCTCCTAGCCTGGAAGCTCACTTGAACTCAGGTTTTCTGGACACCACTGCAGGAATGCCATTGAGAGTTTCAGCCTTTCCACAAAACTGCATCTTTGTTGCCACACCCTCCTACTAATTTTACCTGCCTTGGGTTCTATTTTTTTTTATAGGATACTTGTGATCTCCAGAGACCAACTCATCAGCTGAGGATTGCCTAGGCATAATGGCATTTCTGTCTTATCTTCATTCTTTCTTTCACGTCTTCTACCACTTGTCGTGGAGTGGCTCAGGCCCTGACGCTGGGTCTTGCACCAGTCAGCACCCACCACGCACTGGGGAGAGCCTTCAGCCTCACCAATCCCCAGTGCCGCAGTCACACTGATGAGGAACATCTTTTTTTTTTTTATATATTTTTTTTCTGATCTCAGATGGGTGTTGTGAGGCTTATTGAGCTAATGTTTGTAAATTGCTCTGAAATTCTCAAATGAATTGTGCACGGGGAATGCTAAGTATTATTCCTTGTGGATTTTTTTTAACTTGAAGCATTCATGATGAATTGTTTCTACACACAGAGCTCAAATCCTGTCAGAAAAAGGGGCCCATTAAGCACTCTTTCACAAAGCATCAACTGCAACTGGTATTTACTCAATTATTTGGTGAAAAAACACACTTGGTGGAATTAAACATCTTTACCAGGATGAACCTGAGCACTGAGCTAAATATCAAAGCTGTAACACTGGGGTGAATACAAACAGCAATCATGTTCCAGCTCTTCTGCGTTCTTTGATACAGAGATCTTTTCTTTTTTTCCTTTCTCTTTTCTTTTCTTTTTTTCCTTTTTCTTTTCTTTTCTTTTTTTTTTCTCAATCTGGTTTTGTTGGTGGTTTTTTGTTTTTTTTTTGTTTGTTTGTTTGTTTGTTTTTTTCAGCAAGGTTGTGGAGCACAGGCAGCTTCGAGACAACATTTTCAGAGGAAGACAGCATAAGTTAAAACGCATGTTCCCAGGCAGGGCATTTCTCAAACCGGCCAGGGAAAGAAAACTGGGTTGATTTTTCCTCCCAGGCAACCAACAAGAATGATGGATACTATGAACAGATCCCTACAGCAGAGGGCAGGACCAGATCCTGTCCTCAGCGAGTCCTGCATCCTTGAAACAAGCGCTCTGCCACACTTTAAGAAGTAAGAAGCTGGATTTGAATTCAGTTTGGTCATATCTCAAACCTTGCTGCCATCAACAGAACAGAAAAGCAAGCCTTTCTCGGTTTGCCTCTCCGTGCTACGTTTTGTATTGTATCCACAGATGTAGTCTTTGTAATAAATACAGTCTTGTGGCACAGCTTTCCTAAACATACTAAGCTGTTCCTAAAATACTGATATGGAGAAAAATGCAGTCTTTGTGATGTTCCTTTTCTCCAATTTTTTCACACTGCTAGAAAAAGACTGCTACCACCTTAATTAAAATGTATTGCCTACCACAAGACTTCACTATTTTAAGATAAAATTTACATCTTTTATTAACTCACCTCACCTATACACTTAGCTCACAATGCCTCTCAACGCCCATCTGCCATCCGTGTACAGTAAGTCACTTGATATTCCACCCACCAATTTTTCCTAACAACCACTGTGCAATTAAACTCAACACGTTCTGTTGCGAGGTAAATTAGGCACACCTGCGGCCAGACTTCATTTGAACTGCATCAGAAAAGGACCTAACAAGGTGAGAGCGTACCACAAAGTTATAGTCCTGTCAAGCAATTAGGTTTTCACTTCTGGGACATCCGCACAGTGCAATTATGCTACACATTACAACCTGGCTAATCTTCTGAACAAATGTCATGTCTCAGAGAAGCTAGTAAAAGCAGTTCATCTGCAAATGTGTCTGCTCTTAAGCCTCCACCTTATGCACATAACAACCTACAGGAGACTTTTTTGTGATATGAAAGATGTTTTTTTCCATAGGAGATTTTTAAAACCCTGCAAGTGCCTTTTCATCCTTTTCACCTCTTCTTAACCTTTTTGAAAGGAGGTGTTGCAGCAAATAGACTAGAAAGACTTTTGTACTGGAATTTCAACACTAAGCAAGCAAGAAAATACTTGGTATTATAAGCATAACTGCTGTCTTTAGTTTGTTTTGATTCAAATATTGTTTGGCTAAATAAGTATTTGTTGTGGAAAACCACCTAATATACAACATAGAAACATCGTTATTAAAGTATATTTCCATGAGACCCCAAACAGAAATTTCATTCATGCAAGTAAACACCAGTAGGAAGTAAATGTTTCATTCTTTTTATTTCATATACTGAGTATGAGTGTCCAGATGCCAGCACCCTAAACCAAAATAAGCGCTGACAACATATGAACAGTCAGACCACTGCTAAGGAAGAAAGCTTGAATGTGCAGTTACAAACAGCCTCCGCCCCTTCATTAAATAAGATTTTCCCAACTTCGGATTCAAAAAGGACAGAAGACACAATACTTCATCAGCTTTGCTGGCACAATTTTTACTCCAACAATTCTGTTTCATTTTCATCTGTATTTCAGGTACGCAGTTAGCATGTTCAATTAAGCCTACAGATAAGATATTACTATACTACAAAATACAGAATTGTTATGCTATGACAAGCCTGCTCTACTTCCATGGGTAAAAAAAAAAACTCAGATTTGGATCATTATCTGCAATTCTGAAGTTCTTTGGAACAGGAGCTGTCCACAGGGGCACAATGATGCTCCAGGGTGGGGGCAAGAGAGAGCAGCAGAAGAGAAGACATTTGAAGTCAAATGGTAATTCTCATCCTTTACTCTACTACCCTTTAATTGGCTTTTTCCTAAGAAATATCTGACAACCACTTTGCATATCTCTTTTGTAGAGCCTAGTAAACAAAGGATTTAATACTCTTGTTATGAAAGAAAAAATCTTTCCTCTGTCAGAAAATCTTTGGCTTTAGCACCAATAAACTCTTTATTACTGCTAAACTTGGATTTGCTGCTCGATCGCAAAGAGGCGATAAAAACTCTAACCTGTCATTAGTGCATTATGCTTAATTGTGTACAGTATGTTTCCAGTTGCATCTGTTGGCCCATTATCAAAATGACCATTATGTACACTAATTCCCTGACCCTGTCTTTATTTCCCTAAAGAGTCATAATCTTTCACAGTAGGTATCAGAGTAAATCAAGCTTGAAATATGGGCTTTATTTACTTGTTTCTCCCAGGCAGAGTGGAAGACTGTAGCTAAAGACAAACTGCTGTAGATAAGTAGCAACTAGGTTGTAATATTCTACTTGGAGAAAGGGTGGGAGCTCCTCGGCGACTATTCCAAAAGGCGTCACCCTATTTCCTTTTAAGTTTGGCTCTCTATACTTATCAGAAAATAATGAAACTGTAGA